ATATATATATATATATATATATATATATATATATATATATATATATATATATATATATATATATATATATATATATATATATATATATATATATATATATATATATATATATATATATATATATATATATATATATATATATATATATATATATATATATATATATATATATATATATATATATATATATATATATATATATATATATATATATATATATATATATATATATATATATATATATATATATATATATATATATATATATATATATATATATATATATATATATATATATATATATATATATATATATATATATATATATATATATATATATATATATATATATATATATATATATATATATATATATATATATATATATATATATATATATATATATATATATATATATATATATATATATATATATATATATATATATATATATATATATATATATATATATATATATATATATATATATATATATATAATTATTTTTATTTTTTTTACCTCTTTTGATTCAATTGTCCCAAAAATAGATTTTTTTTTCTTATTTGTTAAATGCCTGATAGAAGGTGGATTTTCATATTTTATTTAAAACAGACAGTACATCAGTAATATCCAAGCGACAACCTCCCGCTTTCCCTCGGGAAGCTAAAACGGAAGTAACTGAAACTGCAATTATCGCTCCATAATAGAGCAGATTTCCAACTTTACAGCAGAAAAAAAGGTGTTTACAGCCTGGTACAAAGAACGATTTTGGTTCATAGAGCTAACATTACGCTTTATGGCATCTGTGTAGGGGTGAATATTTTTATAACTCATCCATTGCGTCTAATTAAGTTATATTTAAGTCTGCATAATTGAGGGTGTGGCCACTTGAGTGACAGCTATAGGTCTTTCTGTGTGCCGTCACTTCACCTCAGCTGATTCCGGCTGATTAGCTGCCGAACTTGGTGTATATATCGTATTTTTTTGTTGTGGTTTTATGTGGCTTTACACAGTTAATAGCCTTTTGGAATTATTTTCTACAATTATCAGATACTATAGCATGCTGTGTGCACTTAATTGTGCTCACAAACCATTCAAGTGGCCTCCATTTCCCTTTTGAGTGAAGTTATATACTTATACTTATTATATACCATCTCTATAAATGTATTTGTTTTATTTCATATCATTTATCATATATATTTTTCTTTAGAGCTGTAAAGCACTCCAGAATCTGACAGATTGATTAGCTGTAGGCTCTAGAACAGTCATCTAAAGTGTTGTCATACGGTGTTATGCCTGGTTTTCATAAATAACCTTGCATTAACTAACACAGACTATATCTGAAGTGTTTGGAAGTAATTTGCATTTTCCTCCTGTTGAAAAACGTCATAAGAACAATGTTTAGTGGCTCAATGTGTTACAGCAGTGTTTTTAAAAGGCTAAACACTTTATTGATATAGTGTACAACCAAGCACATGTGGTCAGAACTTAAACGAGTCGTAGGTAATGAAGTATTAAGCGTTTCTCCCAAAGAACAGCCGGTCTAAGCAAAATGCTAGCATGTCTGTAGCTCCGCCTCTTTGCCCTTGTTTGGTATCCTCCGGTTGGTGTGATGATGACGCGCTAACAAAATAGCGACGGTTGGCCGCGCCGACTAGTTTCTTCTTTTGTGTTCTTCAGAAAGCTATGGGTGACGTGACAGATACTACGTCCATATCTTTTACAGTCTATGGTAATATCCTCTTGTGATATGTTTAAGTTTTTACTTCAAGAATCTACAGTAAGTTGAACTGGTTATTTAGTTTATTTGTTTTATTGTCTATTTGTTTTTATTAGTTACTAGCAGTTGATTTTAGGACTCAAACTCTATAGTTTTGTTAAATTGTGACGATTGCCATAATAAGAAAAATAATCACATATTATCTAAGTAGTTACAAGATGTATATAAATAGTGGCGTAGCGCAAAATGCGGAGGCCCCTCTGCAGGGATCACTGACGGGGCCCCCTGATGGCGGGGATTGGTGGGTGGGGGGGGGACAACGCGGGAAAGCGATCACAAATTAAGGAGCGGGGAAGGCAGGCGGGGTGGAGCGACAACATGGGGAAGCCTTTACAAACTGAGGAGCGATCACAAACGGAAAGTGGCGAGAGCGTCAAAGTAGCCAGAAGTCATTCATTTTCAATGAGAACCGGTGGCGATAAACAGCGTGGCGCGTCTTCTCCGGTGTGTGAGCGTCAAGGAGAGATCAAATCAAGTCAACTTTGAGCAATGTTATGACGCAGTTCGGCAGCCATCAATCAGAATAAAGTAGTCCACCACTTGAGAGGTGTTCAGAGAACACAGATCTGTGAACTTTGGTTCCGACCACAGTTGTTCCCAAGAGTTTGATTATTGCGGTTGCCGGTGGATTTTCAATTATTGAAAATCGCGACGACGCGGGGCCCATCCGCTACGCCACTGTATATAATACCAATAGGACAAAGATAAAAATAAAATAAACTTTAAAGAATTTAGATTTTATTTTCTGTTGTCAAGTAACTAAATTTGTTATTGAGTTATCAAGTTACTTTTCAAACAAAAAAATTGGAAAAGTACATTTAATTCAGTTTATACAACAGTTCTGTCTGGTTCTTGAATCTGACTGGCTAATAGCCTCCTTACCCTTGTGTATTACTTCGCCCACATCGAGTGACAGCAGATTAATAAACTCACTACAGATTGACAAATATTGCAGCTGTTAGACAACATAAGGTACTTTTGAGGCTTTTTAGTCGAGAATGTAGTTGTTTAGATTGCATCTGTGCAGTTTATTTATAAGGACAGTGCCTATTTTAAGTATTTATACAGCGCCATCCATGTTCAGCGTAATTTTAAACTACAGCTGAGCAACTCATTATAAAACTGGTAAGTGACTTTCTATTTCGATCGCTCTCTTTTATATGGTATTAAGCTGTATTTATACCAGTAATTGTAGTGTATTGAGTCTGAGCTAGGACTCGCATATCAGGAATGTATGTATTTTGTGCTGGCCACTCTTTGTATGACCCTGAGTTACTTTTTTGCCATCTGTTTGTTTCTAATGAGTCTACTGTTTTCGTTATTGCAAACTAGTTCAGTAAACAGAAAGAAAGAAGAAATGCCCACATGTGTTTAGCGCTTTTTCTTATCACAAATACAACAGTAATCTGGTAGTGTTGGACCTGCTTTAGCATTCTGGGATTAATTATTGTGATTTCCCGATTGCAGCAGAGAAATACTGGGAAATCTCTGTAGACTGATGCCATTTCATGTCGGTCAGCCTTATAAAATGTGAGCAAAATCACCTGTTTTGTCATCACTTTAGACATTAAGCTAGAGAATCATTCATATACTAGCTCTAAAGTGTCGTGAGCAGTTTCTGTTGTTCTGACGACAGCTGCAGGTGTGAATGAATGGTGGAAGAAAGTAGTTCCTCATACAAAAGGGTTGTTAGACTCTGGCTGCGTCCAAAACGCATACTTCCATACTATATAGTGCGCTTAAATCAGTATGCGAGCTGAGTAGTATGTCTGTAAGGAATAGAATTCAAAAATCAGTATGCGAGAAGTACCCGGATGACTTACTACTTCCGGCGAGATTCTGGAGTGTGCATCCCATGCACGCTGCGCTATCCCATGATGCCCCACGAAAAAATTCATGAATATGAGTGAAACGACGCGAATGACGTGGGTAGATCACGTGACCATGACAAAATGGCGGATGTAGTACGTCCGAATTCCATAGTGCTCATACTCTTACTGTATAGAACTTTATATTTCTTACAGCCGAGTTGTACGTTTAAATTTAAATGCAGTACCTACTGAGTAGTAGGCGGTTTCGAACGCAGCCTCTGTGTTTGATTTTACATTTTGTATACACGATTATGCCATCGAACTTTTGTATAAATGCAATATCACATGAGTAGTCACTGGTGGGGTACAACGCACGCCTCCCACCAGTGCCAATATACAGCCATATCGCACTGCTACTCCTGTGATATTGTTCATTTATATGATGTAATTACCTTTTTGAAGTAACTTACTCAACACTATTACTAAAAGTACATTTACAGTAGACACCATACAGTAAGTACTGTACAAGGACACCTTAAAATATAAAAAGTTACCAAAAAAAGTTGGATAATGGACCCTTGTCACATTTGAGTAAATTTAGAGCGTGGTAAATGGGAGAGTACAACAATCAGAGTTCATTCTGCTTTAGCAACCCTTGATGAATAAAGGGACATAGCAAAAGGAAAACAAATGAAATATATGATATAATACAAAGTATAGCTTAAGTAAAACATATGTTTAAAAAAAAATCTGAATTTTAAAAACTTTTCAAGAATTTAAGATGCCAATGACCATTAAACACATCATAACCATCTTGTAAGAACGGTTCATCCTTAAAAAAAACTGGCCTCAATTTTTTGCTACATACAAAATATTCACACGCACTCAAAACATATACTAATTCTGTTTTGTAAGAGTCCAAAACAGCAGACATGGACGGACCCCTTGTGCAAATTCAGCCTGTATCTGAATTTACTGTGTTTCTGAAAAGGAAGTGCTGACCCTTTACTTCCACCCTCACTTCCTGCAGGCCTTGATGAATCACTGGAGTATTGTCTTAAAAGTGGATGGCAGGGTCAGTATCCTGCAGACTGGCCTTGTTTTCTGGCGTCAGATATGGCACTGATGCATTGTCCTTCTTTGGAGATGCCATTGACCACGTTGAAAAAGTATGGATTGTACATTACATTGTGTCCTAATTTCTCCATGGCTTTAATAGCAGACTAGGAGAAGGGAAAAAAGCACAATATGTTACCACTTAAAAGTCAGTTTTGATTAGCTGTTATAGAATGATGATTATAATCGGTGAATGGAGATTTTTTTTTTCAAGTGTGAGCAATTACAATCAGTATGAACACGATAAGAATAATATGGGATAGGGTTGAGCATTATGACAAAAATCTCACATTACGTTATAAATCATCTTATATATATAAAATATTAGTACTCTCATATATAATCTCCATATAAGTAGTTTATTATACAATTGTGATATACTGTTAGCAATCTCATATATAATCGTTATATAGTAATCCCATATATAATCTCGAAATTATAGTATAATTTCAATATAAGTAATCTCAAAAATAATGTCATTTCGGTACAAGTAATCTAATTTTACAGTATAATTTTGCTACAAGTAATCTCATAGATAATGTAATCTCGCTACAAGTAATCTCATAAATAATGTAATCTTGATATAAGTAATCTTATATATAATCTCGGTACAAGTAATCTCATTTATCCGCTTGTTAAGTGGTGACGTGTTTGTGACGTATGTATAATGTTTCCGGGTCCAAGCCGCCACTCACTTGAGTGGAGAAATCATTTGTTTATGATCACGTTTTATTCCTATCACACATTAAAGTTAATTTTATATAAAATCGTAGTGTACACAACAATCTCTGAGCTTGCTGCATAACAAATACCAAAAATGTAGCAATTTATAAAAAATTTATCACTCTCTGGCCATCGGATATTAGGCATGGACATATATACTGCGATCGTGATTTTCGAAAGCATTAAATCGCTTTGTAAACGTTTATTATTACCATTTCATGAGTCTCCCCATTCAGTTGAACAGAGCGCTTGGACCCGGAAGCCGCTTAGCGTGACGTCACACATAACAAGCAGAAAATCTCGATGCAAGTAATCTCATAAATAATCTCGATATAAGTAATCTCATACAGTATCATTTCGCTACAAGTAATCTCATACAGTATAATTTCGCTGCAAGTAATCTCATAAATAATGTAATCTCGATACAAGTAATCTCATATACAGTATAATTTTGCTAAAAGTAATCTCATAATTAATGTAATCTCGGTACAAGTAATCTCATATACAGCATAATTTCGCTACAAGTAATCTCATAAATAATGTAATCTCGGTACAAGTAATCTCATATACAGTATAATTTCGCTGCAAGTAATCTCATAAATCATGTAATCTTGGTACAAGTAATCTCATATATAATCTCGATGCAAGTAATCTCATAAATAATGCAATCTTGATATAAGTAATCTCATATATAATCTCGATGCAAGTAATCTCATAAATAATGCAATCTTGATATAAGTAATCTCATAAATAATGTAATCTTGATATAAGTAATCTCATAAATAATGTAATCTTGATACAAGTAATCTCATATATAATCTCGGTACAAGTAATCTCATTTATAATCTTGATCAAAGTAATCTCATAATTAAACTCGATATAAGTAATCGCATATACAGTATAATATCGCTACAAGTAATCATAAATAATGTAATCTCAGTACAAGTAATCTCATATACAGTATAATTTCGCTGCAAATAATCTCATGAATCATGTAATCTTGGTACAAGTAATCTCATATATAATCTCGATGCAAGTAATCTCATAAATAATGCAATCTTGATATAAGTAATCTCATAAATAATGTAATCTTGATACAAGTAATCTCATATATAATCTCGATGCAAGTAATCTCATAAATAATGCAATCTTGATATAAGTAATCTCATAAATAATGCAATCTTGATATAAGTAATCTCATAAATAATGTAATCTTGATACAAGTAATCTCATATATAATCTCGATGCAAGTAATCTCATAAATAATGCAATCTTGATACAAGTAATCTCATATATAATCTCGGTACAAGTAATCTCATTTATAATCTTGATTAAAGTAATCTCATAATTAAACTCGATATAAGTAATCGCATATACAGTATAATTTCGCTACAAGTAATCATAAATAATGTAATCTCGGTACAAGTAATCTCCTATACAGTATAATTTCGCTACAAGTAATCTCATAAATCATGTAATCTTGGTTCAAATAATCTCATATATAATCTCGATGCAAGTAATCTCATAAATAATGTAATCTTGATACAAGTAATCTCATATATAATCTCGGTACAAGTAATCTCATTTATAATCTTAAACAAAGTAATTTCATAATTAATCTCCATATAAGTAATCTTAAGTAATAAATAATGTAATCTCAATACAAGTAATCTCATATACAGTATAATTTTGCTACAAGTAATCTTATAAATAATGTAATCTCGATACAAGTAATCTCATATACAGTATAATTTTGCTAAAAGTAATCTCATAAATAATGTAATCTCGATACAAGTAATCTCATATACAGTATAATTTTGCTAAAAGTAATCTCATAAATAATGTAATCTCGATACAGGTAATCTCATATACAGTATAATTTTGCTAAAAGTAATCTCATAAATAATGTAATCTCGATACAAGTAATCTCATATACAGTATAATTTTGCTAAAAGTAATCTCATAAATAATGTAATCTCGATACAAGTAATCTCATATACAGTATAATTTCCCTACAAGTAATCTCATAAATCATGTAATCTTGGTACAAGTAATCTCGTATATAAACTCGATGCAAGTAATCTCATAAATAATCTCGATATAACAAATCTCATATATAATCTCGATACAAGTAATCTCATTGCGCTCATATAAATTATGAAAAAGTATTACCATGAAACAATGTATTTTGTAAGACCACCAAAATAAACAATAGAACATAATATGAAACAGTAGACTTTCAGTTTTGTGCATAAGATATATATATATATATATATTGCACAGTCCTAATATGGGATGGAGATTAGTGGGATTAAGATTGCAAAGCACTTACGCTGTCGTAACCTTTCTCAAAGTTGACCATGTTATTGGAGCCAACAAAGACTATTTTAGCAGCGATAGAGTCATTGAGGTTCATCCCAAACCACAGATGGTTCATAATGGACTGGAGGAGAGAGAGAAAAGAAGTAGATGCAATAAAATGAATACCAGGTTATCTTTTTGACAGAAAATAAATATTTATTTTAAGTGAATTAGGTTGTGAAAATTATTACATGTTGATTAAATACTACAAGAACTATGGACATTAATAAAGAAATGAAATGTGTTAATAAAAAGTTTAAAATATCATTAGTTTAATTGTCATTTGAAATGGGTTAAAATAGATCAAATATTTGTGCTCCTATGATGCACAGTAGATAATAATATATAATATAAGAATAATATTAAATAAGGGACTATGCCGAAGGAAATATAATGAAATTAGTAATAATATATAATAAGTAAAAAAAAAAAAAAACACAGAAAGACTTCACACACTGTTTAACTAGATTTTGATTGTTCATCTTTCATTATGCAGCAGCATGTTCTGAGACTTGGTAAACAAATGGATGATTGTAACAATCAAATATAATTGCATTTATTTGTATGAGCATTAATGAAGATTAGGTTTTTAAAGTCAGTGAGAATCATGGGTATATTCTTGCCTATACATAAACATATAGGGCTCTATTTTGATGATCCATGCGCAAAGTCCAAAGCGGAGGGCGCAAACTCATTAAGGGCGTGTCGGAATCCACTTTTGCTATTTTAAGGACGGAAAAATCCGCATTGCGCCGTGGCGCATGGTCTAACAGGTTTGAGCTTATTTTCTTAAAGAGTTATAGGTGTGTTTTGAGACTAAACCAATCAGAGTCTCATCTCCCATTCCCTTTAAGAGCCAGTTCTGTCATGCCCTAGCGCATTTGCTTTTTACATGACGGACTTTGTAAGTGGAAAAACTGAGGATTTCACTAGAGGGAAAACAGTTAAACAGAGCATCTGCCTCGCGGGTTTAAGAGATAAGGCCTCTCATTATCTACTTTCACTTTCGCTCTCGTGGATAGGTAAAACTTGTACGCGCAGACATCAATCAGCCTATAAATAATTCATTTTGTTTGTTAAGCGCTCAGTGTTAAGATTTGTTTCAAAACTATTTCTACATTCAGTTCTAATTTCCAGCAAACGAATTAATGAGCAATATTATCAAAGTGTGGTCAAAAAACAGTTATATCCAAATACACCTGCTCTGCCCCATATGGTCCAAAACATGACAGGTGGAAATCTCTCAGAATAAACTGAAAAAGCCAAATATCATATTCCATTAATATATATATATTTTAAAGTTTCTACTGTGAATATATCAAAAAACTGTTTTTGATTAGTAATGTTCACCAACCTGATTTCACCCAGTAGGACATATTTCTGGATTAACATTTATGTTCAACATTTATGAACAACATTCCAATCAGCCAATCAGAGATAAGGGATATATTCATAGTTTGTGTTAAGATTTGGCTTACTGTTTATGCACTTCTACATCATTGTTATTCAACTATTATATCCAACTATTATTCACTCTGATTTTGGGAATAATTTACATGGTTGAGTTTAGGGGTAGGGAATAGGTATGGATTACATTTTTGAACAAAAATGATGTTCCAGGATCAACATAGATGTTAATCCAGGATCACATCGAACTTCATGACGATGCAATGTTAAGCTAAGCTCTTCATATAGACAAGCGATTTCCAACAGGGGGGTCCTAGCCCACAAGTGGGCCTCAGCAAGTTCGGTGGGGGGTTGTGGGGGGGAACCAACCCATATACGCCCATTCTGCTCTCTCAAGCTTATAAATAGTTGGTTTATAGAAGCAAGGTTCTAGAAGGTTACATCTAGTTAATATTGAAAAGGACCAATAAACATGTACATTCAAAAAAATGTTTGTTGTTTTACCCTAACTTTGGGTAAAACATGGACAAAAACAAAATTGGAATTATGAAAAATATGTATAGTTATAATAATAATAATTATTATTATTTTTATTATTAAAATAATAATTATTATCATTATAATTACTAATTATTATTATTACTATTATTTATTATTATTATTATTATTATTACTATTATTTTTATTAATATTATAATTTTTTATTATTACTATTATTATTATTTTATTGCTATTATTGTTATTATTACTATTTTTATTATTATTATTATTACTACGACTATTATTATTATTATTAATATTATTACTATTATTTTTATTAATATTATTATTTTTTATTATTATCACTATTATTATTATGTTATTGCTATTATTGTTATTATTACTATTATTATTATTATTATTATTATTATTATCATTATTATTAGTATTATTATTATTATACAATTATTATTTGTATAAATAAATAATAGAAATCAATCCTAAATGTAACTGGTAAACAATTAATTTTGATAATTCTATAAAATACAAAAAATATGTTTTATAAAATTATCTCTTCATTGTGGAGTCTTACCTCCCTGCCTCATTATCTATCCTTTCTGCCATACTTAGTCAAAATAAGATCATCAGTTTTGTCAACTTGCAGACCTCGTTGCGAGCCGACACCTGATGTCATAAGTTTTCACAGTGCATGAGCGGTGCGTATTTTATCTGCGTGCATGTAAACAACTGGGATTCACACCAGGATGCGCGCGGGAATGGTTCTCTGGGCGCATGTGTCAGTTTGTTTTCACCTGCTTTGTTTCAGTTGCACATAGAGAATAACAAAGTTGTGCGTGCAAAATGTGAATGGCCACTAACATCTTTTTTCTGGCATTACCACTCTTGAATCTAATACCCTAATACGCTTGCATAAAGTAAAACCTACATATGATTTTTACCAGGGCACGTTTTTGTTTTGCACGTTGTTGTTTTCCTCATTTCCTCATATGTATACATATATATATATATATATATATATATATATATATATATATATATATATATATATATATATATATATATATATATATATATATATATATATATATATATATATATATATATATATATATATATATATATATATATATATATATATATATATATATATATATATATATATATATATATATATATATATATATATATATATATATATATATATATATATATATATATATATATATATATATATATATATATATATATATATATATATATATATATATATATATATATATATATATATATATATATATATATATATATATATATATATATATATATATATATATATATATATATATATATATATATATATATATATATATATATATATATATATATATATATATATATATATATATATATATATATATATATATATATATATATATATATATATATATATATATATATATATATATATATATATATATATATATATATATATATATATATATATATATATATATATATATATATATATATATATATATATATATATATATATATATATATATATATATATATATATATATATATATATATATATATATATATATATATATATATATATATATATATATATATATATATATATATATATATATATATATATATATATATATATATATATATATATATATATATATATA